TCCAGGCGTCCGCCTACTGAACAGTTCTGATCAGGTTCAGAGAGAAGGCTCCTTAGGACAGTGGCTCTTTAACAAAATCTCCAGGAAAAGAACACTGGGGCCAGGGCTTGCCCCCCCCCCCCCCCGCCCGCCCCTCCTCACACCACACCCTCTGAAGCAGGGCCGGCGTCCTGGGCCTTGCAGTCAGTCCCACAGGCTGCCCTCAGAAGGGCCCACGCTAGTCTCGTGCTCTGTCCCTTGAAATTCCTTATTGTCTCCTTTGTGCGTGTAACCGTCTGTGAAGTGTAACGGGACAGTGGCGCGGGCATGTGGAGAGGACGCGGAATAGGCGGGTCCCCTGCTCCGGCCCACACACAGCAGTCCTGAGGCCGGGTGAGCAGCGAGCCCGGGCGGCGCCCCAGGCGTGGGAAGTCAGTGGGACTCAGGCCAGCGCGGGGGGCAGGCTAACGCAGGACCGAGGAGCAGGGGCACACAGCACCAAGCAACCGTGCTTTCCGTTCAAACCAGAGCTTGTTCTGTGCACAGAAAGAAGGCAACAGCGGTCTAAGAAACAAGAGCGATGCTGATGCCTTCTGACTTTGTCACCCCATGCTAGCCAGTCACCTACAGGGAACCTGACAGAAGGAAGGAGAGAGCACCCCACTCTTCCTCGCTCATCACGCACTGAAGGTGGAACGCTGAGAGAACGTGCACAGAGAAAGTGAAGGGGAAAAAAAAGCTTCATGTCTTAGCGCCTCTAAGAGCCCTTTTTCCCCACTTTTAGAACAAGGGGCCCACGTTGTCATTTTGCACCGGGCTCTGGGAACTGTGGCCGGGGCTGCGCTCAGGCCCCACCAGCATGTGGCCTGCTCCAAGCACAGCATGGGGCTGAGGTCAGGGTCTTGCTGGAAATCCCAGCTCCTGGCCCCGGGAACCTGCAGGGACTTACTGCACCAGGAGACCTTCCGCAGAGGACGCTGCAGCCCTGGGTGAGCCAGCGCCGAGCCCGGCACACGCCCAGCACACAGGCGACCCTGATCACCCCCCTCGCTAGGTCCCTGACTGTCCCCGAGGGACTGAACTCCTGTCTATCGAACGTAAACATCTATAGATAGCAGACAAAGCTGTATGAGGAAAAAAAAAAAAGCCGAGACTCTGAAACCAGAGCTGGGAGACCAATTATGAACCCTGGTCTTGCCTGGAACTCTGCATTTCAGCTGATGAGGCGGAAGTTATTTCAACCTCTACCCATTCCTAGAACCCAATACTTGAAACACATTAAAAAAATGAATTTATCTCCAAAGAACCAAATTACTTTTATTTAGGAAAAACAAAGTTTGAATTTGGCAACCAATTGTCAAATTTAAGAAAATGGATCTTAATTAAAAATTGTATCAGAAATCATATTTCATACTTTAATCTGAAGCTTTTAACGCCTCCTCTGAGCACAGGATACGGCTGTACGATTCCTCCCAGGGACACAAGGGATGATGACTGAAGAAGTCAGGCACTTAAATGTACTGCAGCTGTTGTACTGATCAATTAAGCTTTTCCTGACTACAATGTAGTTTTGTTAAAATGAGGTTTTCTATTTACAAAAGCATGCTATTTTTCATTTACTTAAAATTTTTTAATGTTTGTTTTTGAAAGAGAGAGCATGACTTGGCAAGGGGCAGAGAGAGGGAGACACAGAATGTGAAGCAGCTCCAGGCTCCGAGATGTCAGCACAGAGCCCGACGCGGGGCTCGAACCCATGAACCGTGAGATCATGACCTGAGCCCAAGTTGGACGCTCAACTGACTAAACCACCCAGGCGCCCCAAAACATGCAATTTTTAAAAATCAATCTCAATAAAATAAAAAAATCTAAATTTGAAACTCGATTCTTGTGATTGAACATGGAAAATCACTGTTTTCCTCCTTGAGCAAGTCAACTACGTGTTAAGATGCACAGGGTCTGGGGCTCCTGATGGAAACCAGGAACAGCGTGGCGACAAGACTCAGCTGCCCCACAACACGACACGAAAATACCCAGTAAGCGCTGCGCGGGTGAAGCCAGGCCTCCATCTCGCTGTCTTCACGGGGGACGTCTGCACTTTCACAGCAAGTGTGAGCAGCACACTTAGCTAGCAGGCCTCCTGCAGGGCAGTCCACGGGCTGGAGTCACCTGGTGCGCCAAGGCGGGGGCGGAGGCAGGCGGAGCGGCCTGCGCCCCTCAGCACACACAGAAAGGCACGGCGACCCCGCACCTTCACAGGGGGGCCTCATGCAGCAGTGGGCCCCAGCCTTGGGGAGTCACAGAATCCGGAACGGGGCTCCCAGCTCCAAGGCCACAGCTGCACCCTTGAGCAAGTTTTGACTTTATGGAGTTCCTCCCAACTCCTCTCATTGTCTTTGTGTTTTGGTCTGTTTGTTTTTCCACTTTTGGTTATGAAGTGAAATCAGAGCTTAAAGGAAACGGAGGGTGGCCCATCCCTGCAGGCTCACCTCTGCAGGTGGGTGTCAAATCCCTAAGAACCCTTCCCTTGAAAGGAAGTTACCTCCTGCCTGGACAAGCAAGTCAAGAGGAGTTACCAGCTCTTCCCTTCCTTTCCTCCAGAAAGGCGGCCTTTCTGGAAGGGCGGCCCTGAGGGTGGAGTTAACAGGCAAAGTCCCAATGGCAGCCACCCCTCATGAGTTAACCACCCTCCCTGGCCCCTCAGGGCCCCACGATGAGCTCCATTTTACCAAGAAGCTCAGGCACAAGGAGGCAGCTTCACAGGCTGAGCTGGGATGTGTGCAGCTCATCCCTCCAAAATATCCAGAATCCCTAAAACCCTCGGACAGCACCTCGGTGAGCCCCGCCCCCCACCACAAGCTCCCACCAGGGCTTGGACAGGACAGCATCTCAATGACATGGTCACCTAACCCTGCCAACTGAAGTCTCTCAAGCACTGGGAACAAGCTTCTCTAGGATTTGTGGACCAGAGAGGATTTCAATTTTGACAAAACGTTCCTACGAGGGTAGGCTCATTTTGATCAGAAAGTCGGATCTGGGATTGCCTATGGAACCCCCAAGATCAGTTCGACCCAAGAATCGCTTGCCTTGCTCCTAAAACATACCTAATAAAATGAGGTTAGGAACAACTCAATCCCTTTGTATGAACGAGACCCTTGACCTTCCCAATGTCTAGCTGGAAACACCACCCCTCCAACATTCCTGGAGCCAATGGAGCCCACAACTGACACGTCCCCCAAAACTCTGAACACTTGCCCTGACTCAAACTGTGATGCTTAATCACAGATGATGCCACCGACATTTTGCATCATGCAAGAGTCACCCACAGGAAGAGGAGGTCATCCTATGATGCACGAGCATCTTACATTATCCGAGCAACCACCCTGGCCAGGTCAGTGGTTCCCAAATTGGGAGGTGGGCATTTGTTAAAATGTATGCATTTCATTTAAGTGTACATTAAGAAGAAACCTAGCTTGGGGCACATGGGTGGCTCAGTCAGTTAAGCGTCCGACTTTGGCTCAGGTCATGATCTCAGGATTCGTGAGTTCAAGCCCCGCGTCAGGCTCTGTGCTGACAGCTCAGAGCCCAGAGCCTGCTTCAGATTCTGTGTCTCCGTCTCTCTCTGCTCCTTCCCTGTTCGCACTGTCTCTCTCTCAGAAATAAATAAAAAACATTAAAAAAAAAAAAAAAGGAAGAAACCTAGCTTACCAAATCTGGGACAACTTCTCACTTGGGATAAGACAAAGTTAAAAGGTGACTTGCTAACAGGTGGCACCTGCAGACAGAGCAAAATCACAAAAGCACTATGCAACGCTTTCAGTGTGGGACACCGGATTCGAGAACATTACGCACTCCTCCTCCATGGTTCATGGCATCTTGAAGCTTAGAGTTTCAGTTAGAATTCCATTTCCATCTACATTTTAAAGCTTTCTTATGCAAAGATTTCCGTTTTAAGAGGAAAAAAGAAGTTCGTGGACCAATGCCCAAAGGAGCCCCACCTATTTACACACACTAGCAAGGAAACCCACCAGGACAGGTGTCTCCTCCTCCAACAGGAAGGAGGCCATGACCACCTTGAGGATTTTGTGCAGACTGCCCTGCATGACACACAACAGACATCAGCTCTCTCCTCTGCACAATCAGAGAGAGCAAGGACACTGCCGGTCCCGTGCCCGGGGACAGGTTGCCTTCACCAGATCCGCAAGTGCTTCCTCTGCTTTTTCATGTAAACTGCTGGCTCTTGCATCCCCCTTTCCTTACTATCACCAGACACTTCTGTGAAGCCTCAACCATCCAGACCAACAAGCCAGGAGAATCTAATGAAGAAAACACGCGCCGTGGGCACCAAACACAATCTACGAACCCAGGAGGTGAATGCAGACACCTGTTTAAGGCACGCCCAACGAAGGCTTAATGGAGCAATTATTTTTTAAATACATGAGAGTCCGGATCAAAACTGTTGAAATTTTCATGGACCTCAGGACGTTCTCAGCCTATATAAATATGGGCTAAATTAATGCTTTCAGTGTAATGACTAAAATAAACTGTGGTGCTTAACCCAAACTGAGAACGTGTGCCTGTCACCCCCCGCCCCACCGCTTCTTCTAGTCATGGAGAACGCAAGGGTACCACACTCATGAGAAATCATTTCCCTCTGACCCGCTGCTTGCTCACACACACTGGCGCTTCCAGAAACGAGTCTCCACGTCTGCAGAGCCCTGCGTCGCCTGTGCAGTCTCACTGGCGCCTCACACAAGGATGCTGCCAGAGCAAAATTTTCAGTTCAATTTTTCCAGGCTGTAAAGAGATCTTTGGCCATTGAGGGGCGCCACTGGTTTGGTCAAAGAGCTGTTCTAAATATTATTGTGGATTTCAGACAGCGTCACAGTTCTGAATTTTCTGAAGCCTGCCTATTTCCTAACTGCTATAAGGTGCCCATGTATTATGAAAAAGAAATTTAAAGTAGGTTAGTCACTACATATTTAACATCACTGTAAAAATACACCTTTTTTTTTTAACACAAGTACTTTTAATTGGATGTTGAAGATGTTTATTGCATTCTACGTTTGGTGGAAAAAACAAAACATACATATATTTAGCACAAGCTTGTGACGTACACAGAGCATAACTGGGTGAGAAGCAGTCTCTGCTCCTCGCCCACCTGTGACACGGAGTCGTGAGCGGCCCCACCGAGATGAAGCGCTTCCTGCAGCAGCCGGGCGCCGAGCGCACGAGCCTCTAGTTCTCGCCTTTCAGTACTGGCAGCAGCTCACCATTGTCCTTCAGTTCCTAACGATGAAAACAGAAAGCACAAACAACATGTATGTGGACCTATGAAAAATGGAAACACGTGAACAATGTTTCCGTGTCAGACTGCTTCCGTGTCAGAGAACCAGAAGAAATACTTCGCTGGATTAAAACTCTGGCCCACCAACACACTGAAAGTGACTATTATGCCATAAAAACTGAGTGCACTATCAGATTACAGAAGTTTTAAAAGGCATTCCAAAACCAACAGATTATTTAGCATTAACGAACACAGCAATTAGAGCCAAACGCCCATAGCCACGTGGGCAGTACACGGGCTTCACTGTTTCCACCCAGCCTGAAAAGGCCGCAGTACTAGTGTACAAGTGCAAATGTAAAGGCCAAAAACCACTAAAAAGATGTAAACTCCAGAGTTTTTTTTGTGCTATCTTTCAGATTTAAAATCTGGAACACAGCCATCAAATTTAAAATGTGACAATAAATGAAATAATGAGACTTTCTATTTATTGAATATCCATCAATAAAACCACTAAAATCAGGGCACGTGGCTGGCTCAGCTGGTAGAGCATGTGACTCAATCTCGGGGTTGTAAATTCAAGCCCCACATTGGGCATGGAACCTACTTTAAACACACACACACGTACACACACACACACACACACGGGCACACACAATTCCATGTGACTTCCTGTCTAGTTAAACCCTAATAGCAGTGATTCTGTCATATAAACTCAGACAACTCAGTGATCTCCTGGGATCTTCTACCATGAATCCCTTACTAAGCACACATCCTACTGCACTAGAAGAGCAGGGAGGACCCTTCTGAGCACAAGCCCTGGAGGGCAGGAGGCCATACAGCTCATGGAGAGGCCCAGAAGCCTACAGGTAGAACCTGGACTCAAGGACTTACTCATTGTGACATCACAGTCGGCTTACCTAACTTCTCTACATCCATGTCCCCTCATCTGCTGACTGAGAACAAGGACACTCAGCGTGCTATGAGGGTGGCCTAAGCACTAAGGCAGTCTGCCGGGCACACCGGGGCCGCCGTCATCATCACCGCTCACGTGCACCGGCCTGATCTAAGCGTTCCCGCTTAAACAAACATTCTGCAGCAGTGATAACATGACCTCACTGAGTACATACTAATTAGTTGCTGTTTTTCTCAGAACAGTAGACTGACTGAGCTGTTGAATTACTGGGTAACTCATTTAATCATTCAACAACGAAAAGCACTTCGTGCTCTTAAAGGCCAGCAGAATTAACCCGCCTGGCACATGATGACGTTTCCACTGAACTCAAGACGAAGAACTGCACTCTATGAGCAACAGACCAAAATGGCAGCCTAGGAACTGTTCCCAGTTATCTTCTTGGGAGAAAATGTTACAGTATCACAAATTTCCAGATGTGTGTTTTTAGCAGGTGAACATCAGGAGTCCTATAACATCCTATTATGTACCTAAAAAGAAGTTGCCCGCACAGCTCAGCTTTAGAATTAAATGAGATTTATTGATCGTTATCTTCCCAAGAGTTAGCAATGGCTAAGGTACAGGCTATAAAACATTCAGACAAGAACAGGCTCCGGAGGATTTGGGGTTTGAAGACTGTTTCTTAAAAAAATAAAACATATATATAACATAACAAATGCAAATCTATTTTTGTGGCTCCAGGGCTATTCAAGAGCTACTATGTTAAGCCTGTTCTCCTCTAGGACTGAGACAGTTTACTAGTAAAAATGCCTCTCGCTGCCTTCAGAAGCGCCACATCCAACAGCACCCGCAGCAGACATGACGGGCGAGGGTGAAGCTGCAGCGAAAGGCGCTCGGGCCCAGTGTACCCCCGCGGCCTGGCCCCCAGGGCAGACGGCACTCAGCGCAGGGCTGCCGTCCTCCCAACACCACCGGAGTGGCAGTCATGACTTACCTGAGCACCTAACTAGGAGCCAAGTGGGGGCTGAGGGTGGCGCCGCAGTGTCCCTGTGGGACTAGTCCGAGACCCCGCGTGGGGTGCACAAGCGCTCTCAGGTGCAAGCGCCCTAAGAAAAGCCCTGCCCGCCGAAAATTCGTGGACGGCCTGCTTACAGCAAACTAAACAAGTAAATTAATGGGCAAGGATATAAAAGATGTATAAGAAAAGGTGTTTCTAAACACGTTTACGATCTGACCGAGCTAACCAGTTTCCTAGCGTGAGACCGAGCCGGACGTGGGGACAGCCCACAGCAGCCTCGTGCAGCTCTGTGAGGCCCCGGGCACAGGGGCCTCCGGGCTGTCACACAGCTGGCAGGGGCCAGGCAGCACCGGGTGTCGGGCCTCCTGCCCGTGGCCTGGTGCTCTTCACTCCACCCCCCGAGTGCATGTAAGGCAAAGTAACATGAAAAAACAGTATAACGTAAATATAAAAGGATGGAAGAACTTCAGGAACAGGAGTGAAATATTTCGAGCTTCAAGAATCTACGATTTAGAGACAAGAAGGGCCCTGAAAGACACAGAAAACATGCAGCCATGGCACACGCAAGGTATCCAAAGCAGAGGGGACAAGGAAAGGCTAAAAACACAAAGACAGTTCTACCAGATTTAGCAGCGTAAAGTAAAAATCCCATTTCGAGCTTGGCCATAATCAGAGCATCTCGGGATGCCAAGTGACAGTTCACACCTTAGCCGCAGTTCCTCAGGAGATGAAGGAGACTGTGCGGACGACCAGGGGAGGCAGAGGCCCCACAGCAGGAGGATGATCTGGCTGGCTCAGGGGGCAGGTGAGCACAGTCTGATCCCACAGGGACAGTGGCAGGACAAGGTACTAGGGACACAGAAATGCTAACACTGGGGGGAGCCTGGGGGGCTCAGTCGTGTGAGCGTCCGGCTCGAGCTCAGCTCATGATCTCATGGTTTGTGAGTTCAAGCCTGGCACGGGGCTCTCCGCGGTTCAGCACGAAGCTGTGCTGTCAGCGTGGAGCCCACCTGGACTCTCTCTACCCCTCTCTCCGCCCCTCCCCAGCTCATGCTTTCTCTCTCAAAAATAAAAATAAACATGTAAAAAGCAAAAGTAAATTAAAAAACTAAAATTAAAAAGATTTTATAGGGGCGCCTGGGTGGCTTAGTCGGTTAAGCGTCCGACTTTCGCTTAGGTCATGATCTCGCGGTTCGTGGGTTCGAGCCCCACGTCGGGCTCTGTGCTGACTGCCAGCTCAGAGCCTGGAGCCTGTTTCAGAGTCTGTGACTCCTTCTCTCTCTGACCCTCCCCTGCTCACGCTGTCTCTCTCTCTCTCTCCTAGAAATAAATAAAAATTAAAAAAAAAAAAAAAAAAAAGATTTTATAAAGAAATGTTAACCAGAAGCCAGAAGTGACTGAACAGGAGGCCAAGAAGGAGTCAAGAAAGCCCCAATACAAAATCATAATTTTCAAACATGCCGTTTTCCATCTTTAGGACACCAGATGAACTCCGACCTTACCTTAACGATATCCAGACCCCCAACAAGCTCCCCTTTCACATACAGCTGAGGGTACGTGGGCCAATTGGAGAACGTTTTTAACCCCTGCCGAACCTACGGAAACAAGAGGAACTCTGAAACCTTACTATTAGACCCTAATGAGTAAAACTAAATGCAAAGGATGAAAAACATAAAACACAGAACTTACTTCTTCATCCTCCAATATATCAAATGTCTCATATTCAACACTACAAAAAGGAGAGAACATTTTAACAGGAAGTAGTTTTATTAAAAATTATAAAGCTTACTATAAAAAGTCAGGAAAAGTACATTATTTTGTTGCTGATGACATTTACCATAGAAAATAGAAATGACTTTATTTCTCTCAATCTGTCAGGGAGATACAAATTTATCTGGACTTTTCTCTAGACAACACTGTTAGACAGGGGTCACCAAACTTTTTCTGAAAGGGCAAAGCCACAAACACACAGGCTCTGCAGGCCAGTCTCTGCATTACACAGAAGCAGCCACACATGTCGGACAGGAGTGGGTGCGGCTGTGTGCCAAAAATACTTTACTTACAGAGGGAGGTGGCCAGCTACAGTGTGCCAACCCTAGGTTAGACCTGTACCCCAAGTTTACACGAGTCTGTCCTTAACACTCCGTTCCCAGCCCTCACCCCCGGAGCTGCTGCTTCTGAGCTGCTGGGAGCTGTTCGGGGAGCAGGAGGGAGCAGCTCTGACGTCCATGACCGCTCACAGCCACCCGGGCTGGGCTGGAGGCTCACTACCCAGGACAACTACACTGCCAACAGACGCCACCTTATGGAGGTGTGCATTCCCATGTGCGCGTGAACTCATTTCAGAACCACATGCTGTTTTCATTATGGATAAACCAGTGAGAGTGGGGTGGCTTCATGCTGCTTACTTGTTATAATGAATGAAAAATCACTGCATGGAAATCCAGACATAGCTACTCAGAAGGACTTCACTGTTTGAGGTCAAGGGATCAGTATGGACAGACGACTAATTCCTGCAGGGAGACTGTGGGGTTCTGTGCAGTCCCAAAGACTGGCCAGAGAAAATGCCACATATAAAAGATAAACTTCGGGTTCCATAAAACCAAAGCAGGGAGATCTCAGTAAACAAGTTCCCAAGAAAACTGTTCATGGTGCAGAAAACAGTCAAAAAAATAAGATGACAGGATAAATCAGCACCAAGTACCAAAAACAGGACTATCTGAAAGCAAGAGAAGATTAAAAAAACAAGCCCCAGTGTGAATCTCCCTTCAGGTGGAACTAAAGGAGGCAGATCTCCTGGTCTGAACGGTCTGAGAAACACGACGAGCTGCAGATGTACACGGGGGCGGCGCGGCGCGGGCCCGGCTGCAGTCACGCCAGCCCGCGCACCTCCCGCAAGCTCTGCGCACACAGCGCCTCCACGCCTCCGTGAACACCGGGCACACGGCCCCTCAGGGCAGGCGTCTTTGGGCAGAGAAGGAAAAGAGGAGTGTGAGAATGGGGGGGAAGGAATAATAAGCCAGACTTTCTCCACACCCTGACGGCTATCAGCAAGGCGACGGTCTGTTCGAGGTGAGGAGCGGCAGAGGGCCCCGCGGCCCGCTCACCGCACAGCTCCCTGCGTCAGCACGTCCGCAGCTGGGACACTTCACCTCCACAGAGGCCCCTCTGCTCTGGGGACTGGTACTTGCAAATCCAAACAGGGTTAGAGAGGGACCGGGTGACTTTCCACCGGACAGACGAGCCGACACGGCCCGGTGCTCTCGCGCTCTGGCCTCCCCGCCTTGTGGAGGTAAGCCCTGAGGGGACACACCATCAGGAGGGACAGGCATGTCACACCGGGGAGCTGGGACAGAAGGAAGACAGAGAAAGGGGGCCGCAAAAACTGCTGACCAAAACCCAGCCCACCTCTGCTCTGGGCAGCGCAGCGTGAGGGAGGTGTGGCCAGAGCTCATACGACAAAGACTCGCTAGCCTCTCCTCTGTAAGATATCACTGTCACTTGAAAAAATCAATCATTTTTCTTTTTATGTCCCTAAAGTTGTATTTAACCTGTGCTACTCAACTGACTACTTTCAACCCTGCCCAGGGACATCTAAATATTTCACCAATTACCTTCCCCAGGACTTCAAAGAACTGGTTAATCTCTTTAAAGTTATGGCTAGAATACTAAGGCTATTAAAAAGAAGCTATTGTGAAATAAGCAAAATAATAATAATAAGCAAAAACATTTGATAAACTCTATAGAACATGGGCAAAGTATCTCCAAACAAGTGGTTTTATTTTTAATCAGAAAAATCAACCGTAATTTTCTTACCTGGCAGCATCACCACTGAGCAGACCAAGAGCATGAACACAGCGATTTAAGTTACCTGCTTCTGAGACGCACAGAGCAACCTTCACATGTGCCCTATGCATTTGACACAATGTGGAAAACTAGAATCTTTTTAAGGAAATTAAAAACCTCTGATACATTTTCCCTAAAATGTCTTTATGTATGCATGTTAAAGAACTCAGTTATTAACTTTTCTCTGGGAAAGTAGACAAATAGTTATTTCAACAATTGCCTAAGAAGCTCCTTTATATTGCCAACTGGTTGATACTGGCCAGAAAATCCGACTGTGGTCTAAGTTAAAGCACTCATAAAGCACTATAGCAAAAATAGATAAAAATATACAGATATAACCATAACAACTGAAAGGCATCAGTGGCAGTACTGAAAAATCTGAATTTCTTAAACATACCATCTGAAAACAAGATTTACATACCCAGTATTATTTAGTATTTCCAGAATTTGTTTGCTGAATCCACATTTTGCTTCCTAAATTCAGAAGGAAACAAACAAAAAAACAAACGTGTAAAGATGTATTACATTTCCTACTCAGCCCGAGCCCACTGGCATGGTCCTAGAATCGTTCCGCACTGGGATGGCGCGGGCATGCCGCCCTCCAGAGACGAGCCTCCAGGTGCCTCTGGCCTCATAGAGCAGTGGGTCGGCCGGGATTTCAGGAGGCCACAAATCCCAAGCCCCTCAAGTACTGACCCATCTGGACATGGTCCTGGACCCTCGGCCCACAGACTTCCTTCAGGCTCTACCCACCAGGGATGACACGTGTCCTGTTCCTGACAATCTTTGTGGTGACACGGTCCTCTGAGGGGAACCCTCTCGCTCTACAGACTGGCTCCCTCTCCACTCTCTCTCACAGGTGGCCTCACCTCACTTCATCTTTCTGTACTGAGTAGGGCCATCATCTTCCTATTCCCAACTGGACTTTTACTCCTCATTTTTTAAAATGTGACCTTACGGTACAGAGTTACAAAGTACCAAACTTCTCCCAGGTTATGGCAGTTACAGGATTCTGCCAGCCACCAGGACTCGAACCCTAGCAATCCTGGAGGAAGACTCAGCACCACACGTATTTCTTAATAGCACAAGTAACTCTGCTCCCAAGATGTATGAACACTTGCCGGCTTCCAGAAAAAAACTTTTTCGAAAATAAAAATCTGCTTTTAATAATCACCAAGAAGATGTAAGAAGATGACTTTATCACTACTGGGAATTATTAACTTCCTCTACTTTGTTTTAATAAAATTAGTGAACCAGTCAAAGAATCTAGGTCCTAATCTGTGATCCCAGTACGCTGAAAGCTATACTCCCATTTCCCCATTACTGCTTTCACAGATACACTGGCGAGCTGTGTTAACTGGCTGCTTTCACTGTATTTGTTACATTACCTTTCACACTCGCCATCACACCTCCTTCTCTGCGAGGCGCCCTGAACACTCCCACAAGGGGCAGCAGCGCCCTGGGAGATGAAGCGAGCGGCCCGCAATGACCGGGCAGACGAGCGCCGTCTCGCCGCCCAACAGCCTCGACGCCCAGGGCTCCCGCCTCCTCCCCTGGGACGCAAACCGGACTCTGTCCCGCCAGCCCACCTCGGTCACTGGCTGAGAACAAAGGAAGGGAACAGAGCCTGGTTCTGGAGCTCACCGTTCTAGTCCCCACACAACCGAAAATCAGTTCTGCTCAAGCTGTTGGGGGGAGTGCGCCACCTAACTCAGTCCTCAGAAGGATGCACAACCTGTGTGTTCCTTCATCAAAAAAGCTACAGGAGCCAACCCATTATAAATAACCACTGCCAAGCGGTCTCACTCATCCGTCCGCCTAGTGTGGGACACACAGGATGCCGCAGGGTGTATTTCTCCATCCGGGACTTCTTCCAGCATGCCCTAGGGCTGCGCTCCCTGAGAGCGACAAGGCTCCCTGTGCTCGGGAAGTGCGTGGGCCAAACTGCTCACTACCTGAGCCCAGGACCTCAAATGGTGACTGGTGACGGGACAGCAACAAACAGAACCAGAGGAGGGTGAACACTGTTGGCCAAGTTTGGCAGCGAAGAGAAATGCACCCGCTGAGATGTTGATGATAAAGTCGGGCAAGATGTAGATTACTTTGTTTGATCTCCATAAGCACCAATTAAGGCCTGGATACCTTCCTGATGCCACTACAGCTTCATTAGCCACAGCTAGGAAAAAAGATTTAAGTGTCCCCTTGTTGCAGATGTTAACATCAAAAGAAATTACAAATAAAACCATTTTTGAGTTCTTTACCTGTTTGTTTCCTTTCATAAACAGCATCACAGAAGCTTTATTTGTCAGTAGTTTGAGCCTAAAGAGAGAAAATTGATATAAAATGGCTCAGCTCAATTATTAAACACCACTTTTGCTTCGCTTCAGGAGTAACATGCATATTTGAGGGATAGCAGATGATAGTTCACAGCTTTGAGTGGTATTAAACAAGCAAATGCATTGACATTTTCCTTTATTTCATTCTCTCCCTGAGCCACCATAAAACACAATATGGCTTTTAAGGCAAGGAATGTTCCTTAGAGTTGCAATTCAAGCCCATCAACTCACAGCACTAAAAAAAATAATAATAGCCAATTCAGTAAGGAATTGTTCAGGAAGGGGCCTGAATGCTGAGCCCACCCACAATTTCCAGAACTACATCTTGTGGGCCCCCTCCTCCGCCACGAGGCAGCACACAGCCCAACAGTCCCCGCCGTTCACAAGGTGGTGGCGGGTGCGGGAGGTGCTAAGTGCTGGAACACCAGCTGCTCACATCAAATGCCCCCGTCTCGACTTTCTGCTTCACACTTTGTACAATCTCTCAAAGGCCGTCCCTGACTTACTGTCAGGAGCGGCAACCGTAAGGTGCTGTCACAAGTCGCAGGACAGTCAGTGTCAGGACAACCTGCAGTGGACCCATCACCAGATCCTCCCGCCCACTGGTACTCTGGGTCACTCCCAGCTCAACACCTCCTCAGAGAACAAAGTGATCACAAACGAAACACACAAATCATGCTCAGAGCTCTGTCACGTATACTTTTGGTAGCCGGTAGAGAACGTCAGGCTGATTCTCAGAAAAACTCGGAAATAAAGAATATGGTGCTGATCACCATCAGTCACCTACAGCAACCCAACTGTCTGCGCCCAGGAAACCGAACCAAGTTCTTCCACCCGACTCACAGAGACGTCGCCAGCCCCAGGAACTTGGGCTCTAGCCCCGTGCGGGCCGGGACCACGGCAAGTGATTACTCAAAATACACCGAACGTGTGTATCTACAGAATCTGTGTCTGAGGCCACAGGAAATGCAGACGCAGCACATGAGGAAAAGAGACAGAAGGTCTGATGGACACAGGGACATGAACGGCGGCAAGGCAGGCTGAAGGCAGACCCAGCGCACACAAAGCATGGAAGGCTTCTGAGGCCACGCTGCCTCCGTGAGCCACCTATCCTATTAGAGAGGCAGGAAAGGGCATTTGAGAAAGTGTGGCACTTAAAGGTCAGTTTGACAGATACAGGATACTATTTACTAATCAAGGATGGATAAATAGGTGTTTATCAGTAAACACTTTCATTTCAAAATGCTGAATGGCAAGAAAACTACAAGAGGAGGTCTCACCCCACAGACTCAAGCCCCAGCTATGAACGGCTGACACACGGATGTATTTCAAGATAAGTTCTTCTTTAAACCTCTACATTAATTCAAATTTATTACAATAAAAATCCCTGTAAGTCTCCCTACAGGCCAAAGTCCAAAATTTCCATAAGATAAAATCTTTAAAAGCTGATTGAGATCCTTCATAAAACAAAGCCGAATTTTACAGCTCCAAATCTCCTTGAATTTTAAATTCTAACCATGGTTAGAAAGGTAGTGTGAGGGCCCCGAAGTGTTTACACAGGTGCCACACACGCGGCCTTCTCTCCTCACACTCCGCACTCTTCCCAGCCGGTGTCTGGACGATGCCGTGAGGAGGGGCTGTTCCTGACAGCTGGACACCGAGCCTGCTGGAGCCCGGCTCCGAAATGCAGAGAAGTAAGTAAAACTTAACCATTCCACTGAGACCATGACATTTCTTTCTATAAAAACAAAGAGCATCCTCCACATGCTCATTCAATGGGCACAAAAATTTCTCCAATGCAAATGAGTCCTTCCCAAGTTCACACACCAGTCTGACTGCAAACAACACCGACGACCTTGGCACAGGAAAACAAATCCCTGATTTCTATATGGATAGAGCAATGCAAAAACCAAGAATTAAGAAATGTTTTCAAAGTAATAAATGGTAGACTATTTGACACTTTTAAACACTTACCTTTCTTCCAAGTTGGGGGCTTTGGGGCAAATTGTATCTAGTTCGTCAGAGGCTTCCAGCTCCTGAAATAAACAAGTGTGTGAGTTTAAGAAAACATTCACTACAACAAAGTGAATATCACACAGAATATCACCCAACCATCACACCAGAAATACTTCACATATATTTCAGATTCACATTTGTGAATGTAGAGATTTTTTTTTTAATTTTTTTTTTTTTATGTTTTATTTATTTCTAGGAGAGAGAGAGAGACAGCGTGAGCAGGGGAGGGTCAGAGAGAGAGGGAGTGACAGACTCTGAAACAGGCTCCAGGCTCTGAGCCGGCAGTCAGCACAGAGCCCGACGCGGGGCTCAAACCCACGAACCGCGAGATCATGACCTAAGCGAAAGTCAGACACTTAACCAACTAAGCCACCCAGGCGCCCCGTGAATGTAGAGATTCTTAAGAAATTTATACTTTGCATTTATTACAGCACTTATAAAAGTGTGCTCTAAATGAAAATTCTTTACAAGGTACAGACTTCTCAGCTCTCACCTTAATTATATCAAGTCCTCCTATGAGCTCCCCAGACACATAGAGCTGGGGGTAGGTGGGCCAGTTGGAATAGGTTTTGAGGCCCTGACGAACTTCTTCATCTGAGAAGATGTCAAAACTGCTAAACTGAATATTATGTTTGTTAAGGATTTCCACCATCTGCTTGCTGAAACCTGCATAAGAAAAAGAAAATAAAGAACTCAGCTTCTCTCTTACCCATGATTTTAAATTAATTCACACACACATTAGCTACTGAACAAAGATGTCTGCCTCAGTCCTACCCATGATTTAGTTAGCATGGCTATATATATATATATA